CCCCCTCAGCCCTCACGGGGCGCGAGCCCCCTCAGCCCTCACGGGGCGCGAGCCCCCTCAGCCCTCACGGAGCCCGCCCTGAGGGGAGAAGGAGGACCCCCGGGGAGATGACGCTGACGAAGCTGGGAACAGGCGCGGTCCCACGCCCAGTATAGCCCCTTCCACCGTGATTTAGCTACCGCCGGGACCGTCCCACGGGAAGAAGAGTTTTGGTGGAGGCTTGGAGTGAGAGACCCCCCCCGACCCCGCCTTGGTGAGGCGCCGGGAGCGCGGCTGGGTAGGGACGCAGTTTCAAATGAGGCGCCCTCAGCGCGCCRGGCGGACGCAGCCGGGGCTGGGGATGCCCGTCCCCACCACCCGCACCCCGTACCTCGTACCTGCCTCCACGGCATCGGCGACGCGTAGCGTTAGCGGCCCAGCCGCGGCAGWTCCGAGGGGAGCATCTTGTGGGGAGCCACCTCCCGCAGCCGAGCGCCCCTTGCTCTTCCTTCTGGAAGAGGAGGCAGACATGCTGGCCCCAGACCGCCAGAGAGTGGTTCCGGAGCAGAGGCCGGCACCGCCCCGGGGGCGGTCCTTCCGCGCCCCGTTCAGAGCCATGGCCGGGCCGTGGCGGGCACTGTGGAGGGCGCGGGGCTGGACGGCTCTGGCGGGGCTGCGTGTGCGGCCGGACAAGTTCGGGGGGGTGACCGTGGACCTGGGCGAGCTGCGCGGGTCCCCGCGGCTGGAGCGGGCTGCCTTCGGGCGGTGGCTGCGGGGCAAGTGCCGGGCGGGGGTCCCGAGTCAAGGGCGGGAGGGGTGGAGGGGGGGGCGGTGTGTGAGGGGCGGCGATGGTCCGCCAGGGGGCGCCCTCAGCCGCCACCTTCCCCTCACAGCTCCTGAGCCACCCCGGTGAGGCGGAGGGCGCTGGCGGGAGCGAGCAGAGCTCTTTCCCAGAACCGTAAAAGAGTTGAGATTGGAAATGACCTCTGGAGATATCCAGTCCAATCGCCCTGCCAAAGCAGGGTGTCCCGGAGCAGGTGACAGAGGAATGGCAGAGCACGGCAGGTGGGTTTGGAATGTCTCCAGAGCAGACTTGGTGCTCTTGCTGGGCAGCATGTACCAGTGCTCTGCCACCCTCAGTATGAAGGAGTTCTGCCTCGTGATGAGGTAAAAGTTTACGTATTTCAGTATACGGCCATTGCTCCTTGTTCTGTCACTGGTCACCACTGAAAAAAGTCCAGCATCATACTCTCGGCACCCACCTTTGAGATATTCATCTAGATTGATGATATCTGAGACTCATCTTCTCCAGACTGAACAGGTCCAGGTCCYGCAGTCTCTCCTCATGAGAGAGATGCTCCAGAYTCCTCATCCTTTTTGTGACCTCTGCTGGGCCCTCTCCAGTAGTTCCTTATCTTCCTTGTACTGAGGAGCCCAGAACTGGGGACAGCATCCCAGATGAGAAGGTTCCCCAGTGCCTTGTGGCAGATCCTAACATAAAAGCCATCATTTTGCATGTGA